TAAGTACACTTTTTTGGTACCTATACTTTACTCAGTTACTTATTTTTCTTCCTACTTCTGACTTCTACTCATTACATTTTCACACAAGTATCTGTACTTTCTATTCCTTACATTTTTAACACAAACGTTACTCGTTACTCTTGGCTGCGGTTTAATGTTTATAAATATTTATTTCCCGTCATGTGCGCCATTCAATGCAGATCATTGTCTCCATCCACATCTAGTAAAAACTAGTGTAATTGGATGAGTCATATAACACAAAAACTCATTGGTTAGCTAAAGGAAATCATCAGAAGCAAGCAAGTGTTCTTCAAACTGCAAACATGAATTGTTTATGCCATGCTACGATGTCGGATTCAGAAAAAGATGCTGAAATGTCTGAAAGTTTTTTCGAAAAATTTCTTTCAATTCATATAGTGGCATCTGGCTGTTTTTTTTTTTACTTTATACATTTATACTTTAAGTAAATTTGAAATTGCAGTGGGAAAAAAAGTATTCCAACTATTCACCCTAGTTAAATAAACAGAGATCAATGGATTTCACTCAGTCGGCACTTTATTTGTCATATCTTTGCAAAGAACACTTCATCATATGGCCCTTATGGCACAGAATTCAGCCCTGTTATGCCTGAGCAGAGTTCGTTCCCCTTAACTTCCGACAATGGAAAGTAGTCAGAGTCAAAACAAATTACAGACAATTTGGTTAACAGTAATATGTTATTACTAAACCTTGATAAAGAATCTGATTTGTTATAGGAAGAAGCTATGTCTGGTCTACAAACACCCTCACACAGAGAATTTTGTGGCCTTGCAGGTGAAAGAGACTGAGTGAAAACTTTTATTGTGAGTAAATAGGATAAATTAATATATGAAATAAGAGATCTAAATTTTCCGACAATATACTTTTTCACTTTTACTTGAGTACAGAGGCAAGTTAATACTTCAATTTTTACCAGAGTGTTTTTAAACTGCAGTATCTATACTTCCACTTAAGTTACAAGTGTGTGTACTTTTGGCACCACTGAAACAGGGCAAAGAGGTCGGGTTGTAATTTCGGAAACTTTACCTTCTAGATGTTTTTTTCCTTGTCTGTGGACGGTCAGCATGTCAACTGTATCAAACACTGGGCGGTAGGAGCACACAAGACACGCATATCTAAAACACAAACAAACAGACTGGGGTTGTCACACCAAATTAACTGGATTTTCAGTTACTGTGCGTTTTAAGGCACAAATAATTTACCTCCCATTTTTCATAAGAGCCGCTTCATCTTCTGGGATAAAATTAGACAGAAGGTCTGCAACACGACGTTTCTGTAAAGGAATTTATTAAAAGAAAATCAAAACAAAAAAAGTACAACAATTAAATGCACTCTGTAGGACGCAACTTTTCGACTCTAAACATTTTACATTATGAAAAAAATGTATGAATTAAAAGATAAACAACACTTCCATTGTAAAATAATGTCCCAAAATGTTTTTAAACTTGACCAACAGTGTTATTTTAAGATAGCGACTAAGCCGTGGCTTAAGGGATGCTAACGTTAATGTTTACATATTATCTTAAGTTCTTACCAAAAGATAAATTAAATAAAATTAACGTTTTACCTTCAGAATATTGAGTTGGCTCTTATCGTCTCCTTCTCTTTTAAAAGACATGATAACGAAAACAAAAATCTAAGCAGAGGTTCTTCTTCTTCTTCTTATGGGATTTTATGGCGGTTGGCAGACTTGTGAATTGTGCATTACCGCCACCAACTGATATGGAGTAAAGCAAGATAACAGGAAAATATTCACCCCCCCCCCCCAAAAAAAAAAAAAAAAAAAAAAAAAAAAAAAAAAACCTGTGTAACTTAAACCAACATAATACTAAATCACATTTGCCCATATAATTTTAATTTACTCTAGGTCATCGTAACTCTGCCAGTTTCTGATGGTCCCATCGGTCCTCCCATCATACTTCCAACCATCTCCCAGTTCAAATCTTTAATGTCCAGATATTTTTCTGCAGCCTTCACTATTATTTTGATTTTTTCCGTTTTTTTTGTTGTCTGTGCAGTACAATTAATTACTTCTACCATGAAAAGAACAAAATTTGTCTTTTTAACAATAAGTGAGTCTTCATTAATTTTTGGAGATTTCTCTAGAGGTTTGGAATTTGCTGTGTGTTGAACTGTAGGTTTGGGTTTTTCTGACTGAGATGGGATCCTTTTTGCAGCTTCAGCGTAGGTTATTCCGAGCTCAAATTTCATTTTTTTAATTTCCTCAGACCTTTTGCTTGCTTCACAGCCGCGATAGGCAGCAGTATGTTCTCCACCACAATTACAGCATTTTATTTTAGCTTCTTTTCCACATTTTCCGTACTCATGTTCTCCTGCACACCTTCCACACCTCTGTTTCCCTTTACAAACTGCTGCAACGTGACCGAATTTTTGGCATTTGAAACATCTCAATGGTGGAGGATTGTAGATTTTGACATTATAGCTTATGTAACCGATGAATACTTTGCTTGGTAATTGCTCTTCTTCGAATTTAATTAGCACAGATAAACTGTCAGATCTTTCTCCGTTTCTTGTTGTTTTTAACCGTTTTACTTCTTTTACTTTTGCACCGCTTATGTTTTCCAGAATCTCTTTTTCAGAAATTTTTAGAGGAACTCCTCCAATGACTCCCCTGCTGATCTTTTTGTTCTCCATTAGGCTGCACTGAACTCTTATCCCGTCAATTTTGTTGATACGTATTGCTTTGCCTTGCTGGGCGCTGTCTCTGCAGTTAATTAGCAGGTCTCCACTGTACAGAATTCTGGCACCTTTGACTTCTCCGACAAGTTTATTGATGGTTTTTGTTAAGTGAACCGGATTCCAATTTGTAAAAGAGTCTGCCTGATTAACGACTTTGAATATGACTTTGAATTCATTTTGTTGTGCTGTGGAATGTATGGAATGATCATCACTGGATTGTTCTGAACTAGATTCCCCTTGAACTGATCTCTGTTTTTTCCGCTTTTTCTCATTTTTTGATGTTGCTATTTTCCAACCTTCATTGTCACTATTTCCCTCTTCCATCCCACAAGAATCGCTTCCTGTTTCCTCACTACTCACGGCCCAAGACATTTCTCCATAAGCAGCTTCAAAACACGCGCCATGCACCAAACGACCATCCACCGAGCCTCAAAACCCTAAGCAGAGGTTCTTCTTCTTCTTATGAGATTTTATGGCGGTTGGCAAACTTGTGAAATGTGCATTACCGCCACCAACTGATATGGAGTAAAGCAAGGAAACAGGAAACGATTCACCCCCCCCCCAAAAAAAAAAAAAAAAAAAAAAAAAAAAAAAAAATACAATAAAATAACCTGTGTAACTTAAACCCACATAATACTAAATTATACTAAATTACATTTGCCCGTATAATTTTAATTTACTCTAGGTCATCGTACCTCTGCCAGTTTCTGATGGTCCCATTGGTCTTTCCATCATGCTTCCAACCATCTCCCAGTTCATATCTTTAACATCCAGATATTTTCCTGCAGCCTTCACTATTATTTTGATTTTTTCTGTTTTTTTTTGTCGTCTGAGCAGTACAATTAATCACTTCCACCATGAAAAGAACAAAATTTGTCTTTTTAACAATTAGTGAGTCTTCATCAATTTTTGGAGATTTCTCTAGAGGTTTGAAATTTGCCGTGTGTTGAACTGTAGGTTTGGGTTTTTCTGACTGAGATGGGATCCTTTTTGCAGCTTCAGCATAAGTTATTCCAAGCTCAAATTTCATTTTTTTTATTTCTTCAGACCTTTTGCTTGCTTCACAGCCGCGATAAGCAGCAGTATGTTCTCCACCACAATTACAGCATTTTATTTTAGCTTCTTTTCCACATTTTCCGTACTCATGTTCTCCTGCACACCTTCCACACCTCTGTTTCCCTTTACAAACTGCTGCAACGTGACCGAATTTTTGGCATTTGAAACATCTCAATGGTGGAGGATTGTAGATTTTGACATTATAGCTTATGTAACCGATGAATACTTTGCTTGGTAATTGCTCTTCTTCGAATTTAATTAGCACAGATAAACTGTCAGATCTTTCTCCGTTTCTTGTTGTTTTTAACCGTTTTACTTCTTTTACTTTTGCACCGCTTATGTTTTCCAGAATCTCTTTTTCAGAAATTTTTAGAGGAACTCCTCCAATGACTCCCCTGCTGATCTTTTTGTTCTCCATTAGGCTGCACTGAACTCTTATCCCGTCAATTTTGTTGATACGTATTGCTTTGCCTTGCTGGGCGCTGTCTCTGCAGTTAATTAGCAGGTCTCCACTGTACAGAATTCTGGCACCTCTGACTTCTCCGACAAGTTTATTGATGGTTTTTGTTAAGTGAACCGGATTCCAATTTGTAAAAGAGTCTGCCTGATTAACGACTTTGAATATGACTTTGAATTCATTTTGTTGTGCTGTGGAATGTATGGATTGATCATCACTGGATTGTTCTGAACTAGATTCCCCTTTAACTGATCTCTGTTTTTTCCGCTTTTTCTCATTTTTTGATGTTGCTATCTTCCAACCTTCATTGTCACTATTTCCTTCTTCCATCCCACAAGAATCGCTTCCTGTTTCCTCACTACTCACGGCCCAGGACATCTCTCCACAAGCAGCTTCAAAACACGCGCCATGCACCACCGGCCTGGTTCCGTGGTTGTCTACCGTTCACTCTTCCCTTCTTCCGCCCCCGCCCCTCCAACTAAGCAGAGGTTTCAGAAACAGGTTAGCTTATAAGCTACTTCCGATAGCAATGATGCGTTCGCGAAACAACTCAAATGAAGTAAATAGTATTCGGACATTGATCATCTTTTAATAATAGCGTATAAATAAATTCGGATTCAATGAATAATTAATATTTACTAAATTTTAACAATACTTAATTAACGTGTTGGTGTTTTTAAGTCATGGATTGAGCATCCAAATCATAATGTTGCGGATTTTCCCTAACTGATTCGAATGCAACGTTTGTGACGAATCATGAGAGCAGTGGCTCAACACGGGCAGCCATGGCAACACGGCTGCTGAGATAAAAAAATTACTATTTTTTACGGCCTTAAAGCAACTTTTTCAAATGTTCTCTAGGTAAGTGTTGTCGGTTTATCTTTTGGTTAAAATAACTATCTAAATATCTGTCTGTGAGATTTACTGACTGCTTTGTTCTTCCTATCGTAACAGGTTTACTGAAGGTTTACGCAGATTAAGTTGATAACTCAGTTAGCTCCGGCTAACTAAACTGCCTTTGTATCATTTGGGAATTCGTGCAGGCTGAAAGAAAAGTATTCATCTCGTGATTTTCACTGGAAATAAAGTTTATTCTGGCTCCACTCAGGCTATGACCGACCCCGATGTTTTTGGAATATGTCCGGGGAGCGAGCGCCGTTGCCATCCGGAGGAGGCGAGCTGTTCCGCGGAAGCAGAACAAGATCTTACGGCAGTTTAACGCGATCTTCTCTCTCCCCGCTTCGCCACAGACTCATTGAGCACACAGTAAAACCAGGAGAAACACTTCAGGGCCTTGCTTTAAAATATGGAGTCACTGTAAGTATTGTGTAATGTAAGAATGAAATGTTTAGAAGGCTTTCTGCCTTTATGTTTTATATAAACACTACATTCCCATTTGTGCAGGTGCATTCAGTTCCGTTTATTTATATTGTGCCAATTCACAACACATGCCATCTCAATGCACTTTACAGTTCATTAGATACTACAGTCAGATTAATTCAAAGTTTTCAATCTTAGGAAAACCATTTCATTGCATTGACATAAAGGCAATCCCTCCATAAGCATGCTTGTAGCGACAGTAGAGAGGAAAAACTCCCATTTAACAGGAAGAAACCAGCAGAACCAGACTCATTGTGAGCGGCCATCTGCCAAGGCCGACAGGGGTTCAAGGAAACAGAAAATTTCTATTTACATGTAAAACTATTAATATTGTTAATTACACAGACTGATATCATTAAATTATATTTCTGTTACCTTTGATTGTGGCTGATAACTAAAGAGTAAAACAACATTTTGTGTTAAGAATATTCTGAAATATATTCATACAAGTTCAGAGCGAAAGGAAGAGTGCTGACTTGAGATTGGGAGCATTCTCAAAAAGGATTTTCCGAGGAAGCTGGAAGTTGTCCTGCAAAGTTAAGTCCAAGGAAAAAATGTAATATATGTTTTAAATGTACACTTGATTAGACAGTGAAGGAAAGCGCATAAAGAAGAGATTTCCTTGATATGGACTTAAACTAAGCTGCACACACGGAAATATCCAGGACATGTTAGGATAAAACTGTTGTACTCCTAGTGCCACGAAAGTGTGTCCTATTTGGGCTAAGGAGGGAAACACATCCTAAAATGTTACTAAGTGATCAGAGCATTGCTTTCAGATAAAAGATCGACTTTCTTTTCATTTAGGAAACTGCATCTCATGGTCTAATTGATCTTTGAAAAATTTACCTCTGCATTTAACCCATCCCCTTGGGGAGCAGTGGGCTGCCATCATGGGGCACCCGGGGAGCAGTGTGGGGTTAAGGGTCTTGCTCAGAGACCCAACGTGGCAGTCTGTGGGAGCGGGACTCGAACTCAGAACCTCAGGATTCCAAGCTCTATGCCTTCAGCACTAGGAAGCCACTCCCCACTGCTCTCCTGTGTTTGATCAACTCAAACGTCAGGGCAACCACTGAACAGCTAATTTTTTGGCACTTTTTTCTTCCCTCTTTTAAGAGGCTTTATAGAGATGTTGATTTTGTTGTCCAACAGACTTGGCACCTGTTGGTGCTTAAAGTACCAATATTTGGTTTAAAGCTACAGTGTGTAATTTTCAGCGACATCTAACGTTCAGACTGCAGACCGCAGCAACATGAACATCTCCCCCCCACCGCTTCTCCCCCCCAACAGTACGGCGAGCGTTACGGGACAAAATGTCTTCCACGACAACCGCATCACCTACTTTCTCAAGTGATGAGGTTTGTTTACATAAATAATTTTACAGATAGTATTTCATTAGTCTGTGTGTTCAGTACCGTCTCAGTTCATCTCTCTCTACTTGCCGTAGTTACTTTCGAGCGTAATGGGCGATCTCGCAATCGCTAGTTTGTTGGCTCTGCGCTGCCGTAGCGCAAAGATGTCTGCCTCCATGGCTGCGAGACCCGCTCCTATGTAATTATAAATAACGAATTCTAAGGCAACGCAAATATTAAGGTTAAGAGGCTGAGCTCGTAGATGATGATAAATAACATAGTTATGTATAATATATTACATTTCTGACTGTATATCCCTGTAATTATTACACACTGTAGCTTTAATAACAATGTAATTACAGTGCCTTCTTGGCCAGCGAGTTCAAATTCCTGACATATTATATATGTAGCAATCTAAAGGAACGTAACAATGCATACAAATGATACAATTACAATACAGATATATATTATATACAATACATACAAATATTTCAGTTGAAATTACTGAGATAAATGAACTTTTCATTAATATTCTGTTGAGATAGACATATAAACTTTGATTAGCTGTAGTCAATATTTTCAACCTTGATAATTAATAATAAACTATTTTCCAGGTGGAACAAATCAAAAGAGCAAACAGACTGTACACCAATGACTCAATATTCCAGAAGAAATCCTTGTCAATCCCAGTACTGTCAGACCTGAAGGACTGCAGCAACGGGTTGGATTTGTCCGAGGAAGAGCATAAAGAGGGAAAGACGAATGGTGCTCCAGGCCGGGAGGATTTAAGAGGACGTGCATCTGACCTTACTCCTGGGGATTTTTTCAAAAGACTGGATGACTTGATCAGCAAGTCTAAGGAGGCAGCAGCCAGAGGATGCAAAGATGCAGAGAAACGGTACTATTTCTCTATTGCTTCTTCAAGCATGCATACTAATACATTTTTTATAGTAATAATTTTTTGAAAAATCCTTTCCATTTGTATATCACAACACTGAAAATTATTGTCCTCCATATTAACCTGGAAAGCTGCACGTTCACAGTGACCATATGTTAGCAAAGTGAGATATTAATGAAGATTTATTTATGAATGCATGTTTGTGCTCCTGTGCTAATCTTCTGTGTGACCCTACATGAAAACAGGGGACAGATTAAAGAGGGAAATTGAACTTTAGGGCTACAGTTAGATGATTTTCCTGTTCAGGGATTTTGCTCTGCGACCACTCTTATCTGTCATGTCTAAACAAAGGAAAAATTGGCAACACCCTGAAACTTGGTGAAATATTTCCATCATGATGAGAGTGACTCCTCCCTTCTTGTTAAATGTTAACTAAGATTCATCTATGTTGGCTGTTGGAACTGTAGGTGTTGGTTTGGCACGCTTAGCTGGCTTGTACCACACATTTTTTATTAAATAGTCCAATAGCTGAGGATGTCTTTGCTATATGAATTGTCTGCTTTATCCAGTTGCATACAAAAATAAAAAACAGGGATGACCTCTATACCACCACAAAAAATGATTGTTTAAAAGACAAAGGGGTCTTCCAGATTTAGCTTCATAAGGAAAGGAATTTCTTGACAATATCTTCAGAAAATACTGAATTTCCCTGAGCTCTGTGCCTTAACAGGCAACTTTGAACCATAAGCAGACTTTTAGAATACTTTCAAGTCTTTCCCAAACTAAAGCATTTTGAATCACCTTAGCTTTTTATGTCATGCTTTCTTTCTTACAGAGTTGCAGCCCTGGAAGCAGCCTGCTCCAGCCAGGCTTCAGATTGGCGCCCGTTAACAAGGTCACAAAGCCTTATTACATCACCAAGATTTCAGCAGGGAGCACTGCTTGGGGCGGTGCCTCTCACCACCACCAAACTCACCAAGAAGCTAAAAGAAAGGGAGGATGAGATATTTGAACTTTGATATCTTTTTTTTTATTACATGCAAACCTTTGATTATTAAAAATATATATTATTATTATTGCTAGAACTATGATGTGAAGGGAGTGGGCAAGACATTACAGAAAAGTGGAAAAACTACTGATAGTGCTTCTGTTCTAAGTTTAAAAACTTTGTTAATCAGTAATTAACTATCGACTATGTGGTAGAAACTTGTTTTAAAGTGTATTGAATATTGCACATATTTATTTATGGGAATCTACTTTTTGTATGAAAGGTCTGTCTGTGGCTGTTTAGTTCAATAAGAATAGGAATGAAAGCATTTGTCACATGATTCTTAAGTCATTTGTCTGCATATGGAATTCAGCAGCACGGCCTGGCATTTTCTTTACTCACATTTACTGTAGCAAATAAAGAAATTAAAACTTTTTATAGGTTAACACTGTATCTCACTAACAGAAATGAGACAATACACAGAAATGCATTTTTAGGATCCTTTAACAGCTTTTATTTGCTGGAACTTTGTTTCTGATTCTGTGAATACTTTATTGTGTTCCATTTATGAATAAAATACTTGATTCTGCATTGTATGAATGGTTACATCTTTGGTGCTTAAATGAAATTTATCTTATTTACAAATATTTGGAAATATTTTAGAGTAGTCAGAAGGTTAAGTGCCTTACAAAAGTATAACTACCTCTTAAAATTTTTCAGATTTTGACTGAAGCATGAACTCCATTTTAAAGTTGTGTGGTTTATTGTGATTTTATGTACAGTCGACCAACATTACATAGTTTAGAAACTTAAAAAAGAAGGTAAGGTAGTATAAGGATCCAAGGCTTTCCACATCTTATTGATCAGTCAAGCAATTAGCTAGTAAAATACAGATTAGCAAAACTACAATCCTAACAAGACATGGCTATTTCCCTAACCTGGTGGCTTGGAAAAGGGGGTGTTTATCAAAGAAGAAGCAAAGGCACCAATAGTTTCCTTGGAAGAGCTGCAGTCCCCCACTTCTCTAAATCTGTCCACTCAAAAGCTACACTAGGAAAAATCAAAATCTAAATAAGTAATTTTTCTTAAAATAAGTACATTTGTTCTTGGATTGAGGAGGTAAAAGAGATATTTTGCCAACGGAACAAGACAATTTACATCTAAAATAAGAAAACACAACTCATTGTCTTATTTCAAGTGCATTTTATCTAATTATCTTATTTTAAGAGTAAAAATACTCATTGGCAAATTATCTCATTTACCTGCTCAAATTAAGGGTAAACACACTTAATTTAAGAAATTTTTACTTGTTTTTAGATTGTTTTATGGTCTGGGTGATTACTAGAGATGCACCAATCCAATACCTGAGCTGAGCGTATCTGTTCGGATTCAACCGTTGAACCCATATGTCTTGCCATGTGAGTGAAAGCTTTAGTCTTGACATAAACATTGTTAATAAAAGGTAACAAATTAACATATATATAAATGTAATTTATTATTTACTAAGGAACATGCAACAAAAAGAAAAAAAATATCAGTTCCATATAAAATGCATAGGATTGAATATCTGATATCAAAGCACAAATATTCAATCTAGCTAATAAGTAAATATCGGAGCCAATATCTGATCCAGGTATTGGATTTGTGCATCATCCATTCCGATTGGCTGTAGGGTTTCTGTTTAAAAGTCTTATAGGAAACCTATAAAAACATTCCAGACAAATAGCCTAAGTTTTCTAAATTATTGCGGTGGCTCCCCCTACAATAATGTTTTGTATCACTTAACGTAACCTTAAGCTGCAGCAGACTGAGCTGCATGTTCGGTGGCCAAGGCCAGGTACCAACACATCACAACAAGAGATAATAAATAGTCTTATTAGTCAATTCTTATGAAAACTCAAAACTTTAATGGTAAAAAAAAGTGTTAACAATTTATTTAATATTTATTTCTGCTGTAAGTAACCATTGTTTCAGCAGGATAATACCATTAGATGTGTCTACTGTCAAACATTTATGGAGTTGGTGAAAGCAGTCACCATCCATAAAGTTCTGATAGTGGAAACCTTGGTCGGGCATTATCCCTAACTTAGATCCGTTCATGTGTGAAAATGGCCAAGTCAAAGTCCAGTTCTAAATCCACAGAGAGTCTGTGAGAAGTCACAAAAAGTGACGTACACATTTCATCACCATCCAGGCTGAGCATATATTGTTATGACAAGAAAACATTTTTTTTTCTTGAGTGCTAGAAAACATGCCCAATTTTTTTCTGCAGAAACTGCAGCAAAAATAATCTGAAATATTACATAAAAAGGTATAGTGGAGGATTTTTGTAAATAAAAAAACTAAAAATAGAAAATCGCACCTGCACAACCCTGTACCCGCTATCGGGAACAACTATTAAATGCAGGTGAGAGCGTGCACGAGCCCATTTCTCCTCGTGCACGCTCTGTTTAAAAGTTGCAGTGTGCATCACTCATACAGGCTTACTTTCCAAAAGAAGATTTGCGATTTTTCCACTATGTCAGACTCACCACCGTTAAGAAAAAAATGGGGACGAGCATGTAGGATGGCTTTATGTAAACATATCACCAGAATGATTGACAAATAGGAGGACCACTTATTTTGATGATCCACCTGGAAAAAGAACATCCTTCACTATACCTTTAAGTCAAGATTGCTAAATAAATGGTGAGGAAACTCTGCTATGTATGGTTAAAATTTCAGACTTATCATATGTTCTTTGTGAGGGCAAGGGTACTGAGAATAACTGTTCATGTAGTTATGTGGTTATTTTTTTTAATTTTTATTATCACTTGTATTGAAATCTCCATATTTCAGTAAACAGTACACCACCTCTGTAGGACCACATGTTAACCACTAGATGGCGGTGTTGTAGTACAATGGCATTTTTGTGTCCTCGTTAAAACGTTACAGCTGCTGCTTCATTGTACAAAATCTACACAGCATCATTTGGTCTCAGTAAAAAAAGAAGAAACACAGTCTCAAATATAAAACAGAGAACAGCTTTTTGGACCTTTGATACGTTTTACATCTGTAGAAGTTCAACTTTGTGTTTTATAGACTTTACTTACACAGGATGTGTCCCATCTGTACATTAGAAAATTGAGATATAATTGCTTTAATCTTTGTCCTCATCAAATATGTTCTCTGAAAGCTGAGGAGAACCAGATTTATTTTCAGATCAGGTGTCTCAACTTGCCTTTCCTCTGCAATAATACAAATTTCGTCCAACAGTTCAGAGTCTTGAGAGTGTTTTCCTGTTTATCTCCCACTGTGTGTTGCAGTTGAGTTCCTACATCATATCGTCCCATCCTCTACCAGTTTGTTGAGTCCTTTACAGATTTTAGTGAGGTTGGATCTGAAGGGTCCGCTTGGGTCGTACAGTTTGGTCAGGAGCTGAGGGTCGGCGTAATGGTTGAAGACGTGGCTGATGCGGTCGTGAGATTTAGGGGTGAGGTGGGTGTTGACCAGCTTCAGCAGAAGATCCCGGCACTCTGTCAAGTTGTCCGACATCACCGTCTTATCAAAGGTAAAGTCAACCTGTCAAAAGATACAATGTTAGAGAAGTTAAGCTTGTACACTTACAGTCTTGCCTAACAGTTAAAGTTTAGTTTGAACTTTGTAAGACAAGTTTTAATTGGAAGGTTTTTGAGATACCAGCAAAGAGGCCACACGTCATGTTCACACTGCTTTTCAGATAATATATTGTGATATCTACCCTATACAGTTCAACAAAAAAGATTAACAAGTCATCTAGAAAGAGAAAAACGACAATATTACACAGTGGTCTACCTCAAAGTGGGTTTACGTCCTTAATGTAATACTTTATTTACCTAAGAGAATTTCTGAAAGTCTATCAAGACTTTTTCGTTTCCCTTGTTCTAATGACCCCACAGATTTTCTATATCTTTATTATCCCAAACTGGTTGGATAATTTCAAAACTCTAATATTTCTTATAAAAATGTATATCTAGTTAATATATACATTTTTTTCCCAGAAACAGAAATAATTTGTGTTAAAAAGACTAATTCCATCAAAGACAAGACATCAGCTGCAAAACTGCTTACATGTGACTGTTATCCTGTGATAGTATTAATTAGACAAATTTTTTGTTTTTTAATTAAATTTACAAGTTAGACAGCATTTAAGGCTAAATAAGGAAATTACATTTATCACAATTAACATTTGAAGGCAAAAAGTCAGATTTTGAGAAGGGTCACCGACATATTACAAATAAAATATGTTTTTACTGTTAATAAAATGATTATTATGCTTATAATACTATTGCAGTTAAAAAATGTTATAGTAATATCAAAGTGCCTTTTATCAGCTTTTAACAAATTAAAATTCAATATTTCCTGTGATGTGTAATCCTTATTTGAAGATGTCAAACTTTGTTGTTCACCTTTAAGAAAAAAATTTCCAAAACCACCATGAGAAACACAAATTACAGACTAGATCATATATTTAACAATAAAACTGCCATAAACACCCTGTTATCTGTAAGGATCCTTTACAAATTGTGTCACATTCAAGAAAATTGTTGTATCAAAAATGTTCATTCAAATATATGTAGAGTTGTAAATAATTTCACAAAACACTGTATTCTCTCCAGCTCATGCACAAGTGTAAAAAGTCATGGACACAGACACGTGTGGCCATGTTTTTATTACCATGTGGGGACAATGTAAAAAAAAATATGCTACATTTTGGGCACTTATTGGGACCAACAACTGGTCCATACCAGGAGAGTTTCTGCTCTTATTTTGATGATCCATCCGGAAAAAGAACATCCTTCACTATACCTTTAGGTATAGTGAAGGATGGTATCAGGTATCAGCTAATGAACAATTTTTTTTTTTTTTAAATGCACCTGTTAAATATTAAGGAGGACAGTGGTAACAAGCTGTTGCCACTGTCCTCGTTACTGTTAATCATGGTAAAAATCTGTGAGTTTGCTAAACTAGGTGATCTGAATCATGTTAACTATATTAGCTGAATGTAAACGTATCACTTGTTAACACCATACAGGTTTGAACTAAATCCCCCAAAAGTGACAACAATATAACTAAAAAAAGCTCAAGCTCTGAGCTCTTGTTTTCCGCAAGGGGTGGGAGTATCCAGTTGAGCATATGCATCATAAGTTTCATATTGCGGAAAAAATAACTTGCTATATAAATACATAAGGTATATACAGTACTTGGGTTGAGGGGGGATGGCATCCCCCCTTCTTAAAAAAATCTTAAAAATCATCCCCCTTCTTAAATGACCATCGCCTGTGACAGTTTATTACTGAATGTGTAAAATTTCTACTATATATTAGCAATGGCAATAATATTGCCCATTCAACATTTGGTGGGCTGCGGTTCTATGAGTAGCCTGAGCAAAATAAATAATATAAAAGAAGTGGCCTACCATGACTATGAAGCTGATCCCAGTTGGAAATTTGTCCTCTGCATTAGTCCCTAACTATGTAGGGGCAGTGATAGCCATGCCAGTCAGGGACTGACTGCAGTTCTACTGCAAGGTGCCTTGCTCAAGCTCAGAGACTGGTGTACCTGACATTTAACAATCATACCATGCATATTGCTTTAGGTTAATAGACTATATTAATTAGGCTATGTATGCCAAAAAAATCCCCCCCCCCCTCCTTTTTTTTTTTTTTTTTAACAACTAGACTACTGGGTATATATTTAACTGCTCTCTTAACCACCTCTCATGGAGGTGGGTGAGTGGCTTCTTTGTCTCCAATTTAAGTCCTCTACCAGAGGCCTGGGAGCTTAAGGGTTTTTCGCAGTATCTTAGCTGTCCCCACAACTGCTGCCTTTCTCCTTTTCAAGACCTGTATAAGTTCTGGAGCGGGATGGTCGCCCCCAATGATCCTTCCTGATTACCTAACAGTTCACTGTAGTCTAAACCTGTACTGTTCTAAATGGGCCAAACAAGAACATTGGATAACTTGAAGAATTGCAGATGATCAGCAGCTCATGTGGAAGGTTAGACTTCTTCAGTAAGTGCAGGAAACAAAGTCTTTGCTGGACGTTTTTCTGAGTGGAGTCTTTGTGGGACCAACTCAAGTCCTGAGAAATTATAAATGGCCTGTACTTATACAGCACCTTTTCAATTCAGAGGTTTCAGAAGCGCTTTACACTGCGTTCAGTCATTCACCTATTTACACACAGATGGTGGCAAGTTAGATTGTAGCCACAGCTGCCCTGGGACTCTCTGACAGATACTACCAGCAAAGTATTATAAAGGATTACAAGGAGAAGCAGAAAGTTGAATGTTCATCAGACATCCACCTTCATCACCACAGTCTAAGCATATTAAGCTCCAGGTGGGTCTGACATTACCTTTAGAACATCTGATCCACCAATCGATGACAGTGGTGTTATCAGCAAACCTCAGAGTTAACCAAAGAGTATCGTACTACCACCTGTGTATGTTGAAGTTTGGTGGAGTTAAGTTTTGTTCCAATGTCAAGCCTACCATCTATTAGTGACGTCCCATATGTCAAGATGTGTTTTATTAAAGCAAGACCCGTTCTACCGCAGTTTGGTTAACTCTGGTCTGGAGAGTTTGTTGTATAATAAATGCCTCTGTATAACAACTCTACTCCTAACAGATGTTTAAACTAAACTGGAGTTTAAAAGACATCAATGCAGTGCTGCTTTTGACCTCTTTCCTTGATCAGTTTTCATTTTGTCCAATCTGTTTTAATCAATTTTGGGGAAACTGTAATTTCACTTTTGTGCCATTTTTCCCCAGATATCGAGGACTGTCTTCACTGATCTAATATTAACTTTATTAGTGCTTAGCAACTGACTCATACCTATACAGCATGAGAGTTTTCTGATTCTTTTAGTAATTCTGTAGATTATGGCTTAGGGTACCTGATACATATCAGCAAATTTCAGGAAATCCTACAGTAACGGCTGAACTTAATTTGAGGTCAACCAGACTCACTGTAATTAAAGTCAGGTGCGTACAAAGCAAAACTGAGCACAGAAATAGAACAAACGCACTAGTTTAAGGACACAAATGTTTTTTAACTGAATTGTACTCTTTGTTTGTCACAATATAATTAGAAAATGAGCTGAAATTATTCATTGTGGTTTTAGGTTTATGTACACATCCCAGAGCCGGACATTTTAAAAGGGGCATGTAGATATTTTAAAGCAGCAGTACAAAATGCAACAAAAGATTATTGTAAGTAAATTATTGGACTCAAGCTCCCTTAATATTATAAAGTAAAATTAGAAATTGAGGAAAATAAAGAAAATTACAATAGAAAACACAATCTTCTGCTCTTGTGATTTTACATGCATCGACCGTAACTACAATTAGTTTTCTCAGACTCGTTGACCTGTTTGAAGTCATTAGAATAGTTTTTGTATTCAGTAGTTTAGAGCCTTTTTGATGATACTTCAATCTTAATATAACAATGAGAAGTATGCACTGGATCTCTTCAATTTTGTGGACGCTGGATCTGTTTCACTGAACTTTACTATTCATGTCATTCCAAAACAAGTGTTTTTTAAAAAAATTTTCAGAGCTCTTTTGGATATTTGCCATTCTTACCAAGTGGCCCAATAGTTTTATTTGTTTAACTAATGTTATTTTTTATCTTTATTTGCATTTATTCTGCTTTTATTTATGTTTTACATTTTACTATCTAATTCATGTAAAGCACTTTGAATTGTCCATCTATTGAATTGTGCTCTATAAATAAATTTGCCTTGCCTTTCTAGAATACAAAACCAATACAGGTTTTTTAAAGCTGATGCCAATACCGGTTATCTTGACATCAATCTAACGAATCCCTAATATGTGCTGCTGATTTGCCTGGGCCTATTCTTTATGCTGATTTTGCATGTTTTCCCCCATTTGTGTGGTAAGACTTACATCAAGATAACAAATGTTACACAAGTCTCGACTAAAACAAAAAAGGAACATTTTTTTTACAAACCAACAAATCTGAAATATAGGCTATACATAAAACCTCTTTTGTAATACGTTGGGAACAAGAAATTCATGTTATATGAGCTATATTTCTAAACAACACAAATATGGTGCATATTAGGTGGTTAGTATGACAGAATTTACCTCATAGAAGCTGATGGCCGTCATGGCTCCAGTGTGGAGCTTTCTCTTAAATTCCTGGGCAAGTTTCAGTTCATCCTCGCTGAAACAGTTGTTCCTATACAGCACACCGATCTTCACAGCGATCTTGATCAGGTTTTTGATGACCTTTTGAGCTGCTGATTTATTTCCTGTGTACTCCTTGGATACCCGGTACAGTTCATCCAATATTTCACTAGTGGTGTCATCTATAAATCTTTGGACAGTGCTTTTGTTGGCCATGCTGCTGAGGATCTTCTTCTGTGCCTTCATGGCCATATCCTTGGAGCTGAACGACTCCATGGTTGCCTGAATTATCAGAGAAAACGAGAAGCAGTTTTACTTCGGAGACAATCTTCATATGTTTCTGTAGGCTTAATAAAATCATTTTCTCCTCATTTGAGAACATTTCAGCTGAATGATCGAATGCTTTAAATGTTTTTTTCAGAAATTAAGGGGATTAAAACTAAAATCAGTTTCTTGATTTTAGTAAAAGGAGACTTCTCTAGACTCTCTTTGTATTAGTTTAGCTATGCCATTATTTGCTGCTTCAAAAATTTATCACATTTCTCTACGTCTTACAAGAAGACTTATTGGTTCGCTATTGGTTATATTGGGTATTGTATTCTCCAGGTACACAGTTTTAATTTGTTAAAACACTTTACAGTATAGTATTTTATTGTTTATCTTTTAACTCTTCACTAGTATGTTATTCTTGTACACTTTTCTAAGGTCCACATTTGTGTGAACATTTTTTCTATAATCTTCTTGCTACTGTAAACACCAGAATTTCTATGTTCTATGCTACTTATTTTGTTGTTGATATAATAGTAGTGATCAAGATATAATCTCAACACACTTTCAATGAATACAAAAAGATAATTTTAAGTTGAATAATAGGTTTCACTCAGCTAAAAATGGAATTACACTTGAGAGACATTTTAGTACTTCTGTTTTGAGGTACTTTTTTTAGTAAAACTGAAACAATTTTGGGTATTATGCAACACAAGTACAGTATAGGACCATTTAAAAGGTTTGCCTTTATGTTATGGAAGCTGATAAGTTTTTTTTCTAAAAGATGCAGAATTCATGATGTCGAAAGGGAAGGATACCATCTTGAGACTTAGCAGTCTTTTAGTTTTCCACAGAGATTTGAAGTTCTCCTTGCATCCCTCATGGAGATCCCCCTAAAGAGCTTATCAGTGCGTACACAAAGCATTATAATAGAACTGCAAGATCACTTTTATTTTTTTCCCCCACACCAGCTATAGCTGAAATTATCTCTTTAATAACAGCATCATTCAAAACACTGCAGTAAGAAGTCTATTTTGAGTACCTATTAAAGAAAACAATGTTATATTTATCTGGCATTTTTATAGAATACAGAGCTGGAAGAAAAAAATGTTGTATCCACAAAGTTAAAAAACCATTACATAGTTTAAATTAGTTTTTCTTTGCAGAGAACTTGTGCATTAGTTGTAAACATCGAATTTATCTTCAAGTCGAAACGCTACGTTTCTACTTCAGCATAATCATTTGTGTTTAAGACAGAACCAATATCTTTAACCGCTATCTTTAACAAGCATGCATACAGTACATGCATGTCTTCTCTCTTTTCCTGTCATTGTGTTTCATTTTGAAACCTGTTAAAGTTCCCAAAGCAAATAAGTCCCCCATTCAGAAGCTAGTCTCATAACATCTTTAAATGCATGTTTCTCCTCCAAATCCAACCTCTTGCCTGTGTGGGCAAGTATTTATCTGTGGCTTGAAAGCTGCATAGCTCCGACAGGTCCATGCGTGCAGGTACAGCATTGCAGGGAGGAACAGAAAGATTGTTACCAACCTGATGCCTTCAGTACTGTGGTTGGGCCTGCCTTTGACAAAGACATCAGCTACCCTGTTATTGTAACATCCTGTGCATTAGTAACAGCCTGTTACCCTTAACCTGTGAGCTAAATGGCTTCCTGATGGCTGCTTTAATGCATTTCTACTTTCCCTCTTTGTGTGTTTTGTAAAAGCTGACGTTGTCCAGCTATAATCATGAAAGGTCAACAGCGAATTAAAACAGTCCAGTTACATTAAAGGTCTGTTTAAATGATAACACTGTGCCCATAGTTACTCTTCCCATCGTTACCGCTGGAACATTTGTAATTTAGATCTAATAATCATTCACGATCATTCATTTCGAGCAAGTGTAACATTGCTGACACTAGCTCCATTTCAAATGCCTTGGGATGCCTGTGGAGAATTAAAAAACATTCATTATATTAATTTCCCTGAACAGTGATAATGGAAGCAGGGCACTGTGATAGCTATTTAAGATCTGTGCTTCAATCTCATTTATTTGCTGAAAAGACTGCAGGGATTTGAAAGACGTGCAAAGTGTGCTGTCATCAGCCAGTTTCCCAAATAGTGAAACTTCCACTATTGGATGCTAATAGCTTTTTAGGCATCTTAACTTTTTTTTTTTTAAAGACACTCCATCTGGAGGGGTTGAGATGGTTCAAAGAGCATTAACAAATGTATATCTTACAGGAGAGCAGTGCAGGGGGAAAAAATACACCCTTCTCTATTGGACATTGCTGAGCAGCAGTTTGTTGGTGCAATTGGATAGAGGGGGACCTTTGAGCATTTATCAGTCTGTTTGTTTGCATCCACAAGGGAGTGAGTGCATTACATGTTCAAGTGTTTGTTTCCCTTCCCAATGTCTGTTGGGATTGGGGTGAGAGTGTTTGTACAAAGCTGTAGGGGAAACAAAAAGAGTAGAGGTGGAACAATCACACACATATAAGGTCTTGATGTATTTCAGAGTTATTGTAGATGGGCAGTGGGGAATATCTGCAGCCTGGCCTTATAGACAGTCAAAGGAGTAGATGTGAACAGTGGGCCCATCTAGGCAGGCAGGAAAGGTAAATACTTAGCATTCCTCAAATGTCTTCAGCATTCAGCTACAGTGTTTGGATGCATGTAGGAACCTGCATACATCAGACGGTTCATTCTAAGATTTTCTTTCTTTCAGGGGGGTTGCTTGTAACTGTTTGTGCATAAAAAAGCTAATATATATATATTTATATATATTTATTAGTATAAATTAATATATACTTTCAGTAGACTTAGACGAATATGCATATTTGATTTAGCCTGACTCTGTTCTTAGAAAGCAAAATGTCTTAAGTTTGAATTGGAAATCATCTGCATGTTTCATTACAAGGCCCAGGTGTAGGTGAAAAAGAATGCAGCTTGTGAGCTTGCAAAGTGTGTGACTGTTAGCAGCTCTCAGCGGTCGATCATATCGAACCGTTCAAGTGTTCCAGGAAAAGACACAGAGATCAAGCCGTTCAATCAGATTAAAAACAAGCGGGCCTTTTTTGAAAGTAACTTTCACCGTACCAGAATGGGGACTTGGTAGACAAGGAAATGTTTGCTTGTGTTTGAGCAGGGAAGATGAAATAATAGGAATGAGGATGGGAATATTTTGTTCATACTCAGCAAGGTTTAGTGAAAGCTGAGCTATGTAACATCATCTTCTGTTGTAGCACCTACATCATTTTTAAAGAAATTCAAAATACTCTAGTTTTATTTGCATATGTAATGTAAAGATTTTCACTAATTGTCTGCTTTTTCTGAGGGTAGCAGACGAAAGGGTTTTGAAATCTTTCAAGTGTGCATATTGCAATATCTTTTTCAAAATTGCACAACTTTCAGAGCAGTCAGTTTCAGCCTTCCACACATCTGCTCTGAAAGGGAAGCGAAACAGAGCAGTTAGCAGAGTATTTGTCCCTTGCCTCAGCTCAACATTTTGACAATAAAAGCTTTCAATGTTTTTAGTAATATCTGTTAACCTTCAGTAAATCGAAGTTCTTTACTTATGATCCTAAAGTCCACTACCTTAAGATTTTACTCTCAGCCTGTGCAAACAGAAAGAGGGAACTTCACATGTGTGCCTGTCAGGGTAACTTGTTGCAGCATGACTGTGAACGAACAGATCTCTCAACTTGTGCTCAAGATGGGGAAGTGGAGAGAAGTCACTTAGTTTCCAGTCATCTCTTCCCTCAGACTGTCTTCTCCGATTGCTGGTAATAACACATTTGGTCTAGTCTGATTTAAAAGGTAATAAAAGTAAAGGGAAAAAACCCACATCTTGCTTCCTAAGCTTTTTTTTTAAACCAGAAAATGAACTGCAGAAATCTCTTACCTGAGTGTCTGCTGAGTCTCCCTCCCTCCTTATATATGTCAGATGTCTCTCTCTCCCTCTGCCCTGTGTATCACTTTGACAGCACAGGCAGGTTAATTTAACAGGATACCTTCATCTCCACCGAGAAAAGTAGCAAAAGCCATAAAAACAGCCCTCCTGCAGCGCTTTAGTCAGTGCTCACCACCCTGTCTTAAGATAATGTTGCGTTTTACTTCCTTAAGGAACTAAATTGCAATGACACACCCCTCAGTCTCTCTCTCTCCCTCTCCCTCTCTCTCTCTGACTGCCCTATCTATTGTTTTCCTTTAAAATTCAAATCTACAAAACCTGTATTTCTGTCCCGCTCTTGCTCACAGAAACGTTGACACTCTCTCTGAATGCATGTGTCTGACCTTTCTTCACTGTAATGCTGACGTCGTGCCTCTGCTTGTTCTGACAAGTGAAACAAAACTCTGAAAGAATTTACCAATAATCCTGTGATGCAGTGAATTGAAAGGGGAGCGGCTTAACCCCTTTTTGTGTGCACACCTTTGGTGGAATGTAGTTCCTGTCAGTATTGTAGAGCGCCATGGTGCTTCCCACGTGTCTCTTCACTGAAGGCAGAATCAAAACAATAAACAACAGCAATTGCAGCTCAGCAGCTTATTAACAGATTATATGTATTTGTTTCATTTCTATGTCTAAAAATAAAGTATAGCATTCTTTTCAAAAGTTACACAATAACAGCTGGATGGCAATTTCATGTCGTCTTTAAACCTTTTTTCGGAGCTAAAAATGTAGAAATTAATGTAGAAAATATAAATTTTTTAGGTCTAATTCAGAATTACCTTTTATTCCACATGATTTCTTTGTGTTTTTAATATAAACTGTTTTCTATGGGGCAAAGTAGCATTATATAAAGGTTGTGATCCCCCTCGGTAAAGCAAGGTTTACAGCTTCCATAAAGTCATAAATTTTAAGGCCAAATCACTCTCATGAAAGAGGTTTTGTTTTAAGCTGTCATCCTTATCTAAATGATATAAACACACATATGAGCATATTATAGAGCTAAAACAAGAGTAAACCACATAGACTATTCAGCATTGAACAACAAGGCGGCTGTTTTTAGCTGCTACAGAGTCATGTCCGCCAGCGTAGAGTCGTCAAATGAGCAATTGTCAAATCAGGAAGTGTCCCACCACTTCTAGATTTGTGTTTATCTTTGTACTTTGTCTGAATGGCTAACAGCTGTGCTGAAGACCTGTTAGCTGTGATTCAAGCCATTCACAAAGTGACATGTAACCCAACATTCACATTTTAATAGCTGTCAGATGTTCAGGGTTAAAGGACACGCTGAGAGTGATTGTGTTTTGAGAGGAGTGTCCAGACAGGAATCAGCCCACCGGTGTGCCGATGGGACCAAAATACACCTGCCTCTTTATTTCTGCCTCCCACTCAGAACGTCTGTAAGAAATTTACCCAAGTAAAACTGTGGCTCTTACTACCCCTTTTGCAACTGCAAAAAAACGAGGTAGTCACCATAGCAACAGACAGGAAGTTGTGCTTAAGCGGTTTCCTGATGGCTTCCTCTTTATCGTATAATGACATCTCAGAAGAAAACACAAGCAGAGAGATCTCTACTGAAAATCTGCATGTGTGCGAATGAACACACTTGACTTGATCCGGTGTTCATGATGGTGAGTCATGGAGTGCAAACGACTTGAAATGAGCCCTGACTTGTATCACCTTAACACTGTACACATGTTACGTACTTGCCTCTTTGGTTGAGACATAATTAGAGGATCTTGCACTACGCAACTTATCTATTATTAAAAGATAAGAGAAGCCTTCCCAAGGCCTACCTCTATGGCAGTTACTCACACTATGGCAGTGTGTTATCACATGCTGACTAATGCAGGAATAATCAACTTCATAACCACTGGGGTCAGAGAAGTGCACCTGAAGATTTGGATGTGGAATGTGATGGAATATTTGGCTCTCTGCTACTGGGCTGTTCATCCACGCTGTGCTAAAAAACAGATGGAGAACATGGATCAAGATAAACAGATGGAGATGGAATTCCACTCATAAACCATCCCCCTTTAGCTCTAACTTTTTGGGATTTAAAGAACCTTAGAATAGGATTTGATTTTTCATAGCCCACTGGTCTTTGGGGTGTTTACTGCTCTGTTTTACTTGCCAAGTAAGAAAAGTTTCTTATCGGAGATAGAAAACTTCATAAGCTTTTTATTTTAGCTCATTAAATGATGGATAAAGTTTAGAAGAGTTTTTGCAGAAAAAAAAAGCTGTAAGGAGTCTTAAACGCTTGGATCTATGTTTTTGTAATAACAGCATAGTTCAAAAGTAAAGAAAACTGTAATTGTAGTGATGTTACTGATCACTACCACCACTATAATATATTATCAATCATATTTTTGGTTTAATATATTTAAGTTTAAAAGAGGGTAGAGAAGAGTGTTTAATCAAGAAGTTTATTCTTTAAATTTGCCATTAACGTCAATTTAAATGCGGAAACATTTCAAATTATGATTGAGAGAAGTTTAGTTATTTTGACTATTAGAAAATATATAATTTGCTCAAAAACCATTAAAAATCTACTCTCTGCCATAAAAAAAAAATTGATACTGGAAAGCCCAACTTCTCATTTATTGCTTACTTGTTATTGTCCTGTTTAAAGCAGAATAAACAAAACTTTTCAGATCCAACCTGAGGAAATTTAATTTTTTTTACTTTATTCTTAGAAGCTTTTTTCATGCATCATACAATTTATTTTACTACAAAAATGACATAAATTACATGTTGAAAGTGTTTTCGTCAATCCATCCATCCATCCATCCATCCATCCATCCATCCATCCATCCATCCATCCATCCATCCATCCATCCATCCATCCATCCATCCATCCATCCATCCATCCATCCATCCATCCATCCTGTCCCGTGTGTTCCGTCTGGGTCGCGACGGGGTCGGTATCTCCAGCAGTCTATGGGTGAGAGGCCTGTTACTCCCTGGACAGGTCGCCACTTTGTCGCGGAGCAACACTGAGACACAGAGACATACAACCATGCACACACACTAACACACACTCACACCTAAGGACAATTTAGAGACACTGAATCACTTCGTATTTTTGAGTAGGGGAGGAAGCCGCAGTACCCAGAGAGAATCCACGTGGAGAACCTGCAAACTCCCAAGCCCGGAATTGTACCCAAAACCTTCTTGCTGCAAGGCACAGTACTATAAACTGTGCAATGATGCAGCCCCTGTTTTTAGTGTTTAAATTCTATATGCCTGTTTTTTGCTACTTAGTTTGCAGATCTTGGGATCATTTTACCGGATTTATGACATAAAGGAGTCCCAGCTGAAAAGCTGTTTATCTTTATATTACTGGGCGGGAATGTTGCTCATTGTTTAAGTTTGGAGGACCCAGCCATTTAAATGGCACAATGCAAATCATCTGTAAGACAATGTTAAATAAAGTGATGACCACAAATGAAGTATTCTGGTCTTACAGGTGCAAGTCTAACCTATCAACACACTGAAGGTTCAGGAAAAACTTGATAAACAAAAATGATAGAATGCCTCTTGTGTTTCTGACAACTTATGGCAGTCAATGGATTTTTTGTTTGTTTCACAAGAAGAATTATCAGGGTTACAGCAAAATAATGAATGGGATACATTCTAACAAAAAATTCTGCAATATGCAGCTTAAATACTCTGTTTAACTGTCATGAACCGAGGACAGATGGACCCAGTATTCAAGGAGATACAGTCAGTAGGAAAGTTCAAAACGTTTATTAAATAAACAAAACTAAAGTGGAGCTGTGGCTCGCAGACACTGCAGGTGGGGGGGCGGGACACCGCCCAATCTCAGACACTCTGTAGTGGGAGAAACACAGGTAAGTGACCACGATCATCTGACAGAAGATTATCTGAGTTGGTCACTTACCTGGTTTAACAGTCCAGACCAGGAATGTCCCCAAGTGCTGCATTCCCAGAGGTCATGCTGGAAACCGATCCTGGTCAGATCAGACAGGAACAGACAGAACAGGCAGGATCCAGATCAGGCAGGAACAGAAACAGGTGGCAGGATCCAGACTTCCAGGCATCCACAGGCTCCCAGGAGGGTTCAGAGTCTGACTGGGACCAGAAGCATGACCAGGTGGTCACGCACAGGAGCAGACAGGATCAGGTGCAGCTGAGCAGGCTCGGTGGAAGAGGGTAGCCGAGACAGGACGTAGACCCAGAGCTTGAAGCATGACTTTAAACTGGTCTCTTCCCTGGAGCCAGGCTTACTGGATAAAAACGGAACCTCCCCATATATAGAGCCAAAAACCCAGAGGACTCAGCGGGGGAGGAACAGTGGACAATCAGGAGACGAGACAAACACTAAAACCCTCTTTCCACTGGCTGTTAGGATCCAGGACACGAACCAAGGAACAAAACTGAACAGACAGACTGACAGAAAACAAATAATGATCTGGCACAGAATGCTCAGGCTGAACTGAATATAAACGAAAGGAAACAGGTGAGATGAATAAATGATAATTGAGGCAGGGAGGGAAAACAACAGGTGAGAGAAATAGCAATTAAGGAGGAGGAAACAGGCCAAATCATGACATTAACAGATGGAAACAAAATCTATTTGAATCCTCCTTTAAAACGAGGTCTGGATTAACCTTGCATCTGTCGCAACATAGTTCTTATGTAATCAAATTCACAGATCATTGTTTTATTTTTGGTAATTACTTCTTCGCACACACTGTTACCAACAGGTAACAGGTTGCTATTGCTAATGTCTATTACCTTTAACAGTATCATGTTTAGTGACTTCATCATTTACCTTTGTTGTGGTTTGAGGAACGATATGTTCACTTCTAAGCCCTTTCATTTAAGTACAAAGCAAGTAAGTTTGCCACAGCCCTGCATCACCTGATTTGTACAAGTGCAAGCTGACATCGCAAATACACATAGTAATGTAGTGATGTATGCATTGTGCATTCAGGCAAGGTTTTCATAGGCAATAGAAGTCAATTCATGAAGGTGAAGTCTTTTGACCTTTTCAGTACCAAAACCCTTTATATTATGCATTAAAAATAGCTAAAAATGCAATACATTTTAAAGCTTTCCAATGGAAAAAAAGCAAACATTAAAATGTAAAATTTTAGAACAGATAAATACCTAAATAAGTCCCTGTCTGTGGAAAGACTCACAGACTGTCTTTAGTCTTACACTTTCATAACTTATCAGTGATCAGGGAAACAGATCATTCAGATCAATCATTTGGTTAGAAGTGGCTGCCAGACGTTTTAGAATTTAAATCAAAGCATCTAAGTTACTGTAAATGCTGCCTCCCTATCTGGTCCTAGAACACAGAGTGAACAAG